TCCGCCCCTCCCCAAACACAGCCGAAGCAATGGGGAGCGCAACACCAGCCTCCCTTTCCTGACTGCCAGCCCCTGCTCCCTGCAGGGCCAGGAGAGCCCCCGAAAGCCCAGGAGAGCCCCCAAAATAAATGCTTGCACTCAAACACTGCCTTTCCCCTGCAGCCAAACCCGGGATTGCTGCTCCCCAGCCCTGTCCAAGCAGCTCTGCGATGCAGGGACACCCGCTTCGGGGTCACACAGCAGGCTGCTGCCTGCACTCGGCTGCCTCCTCTGCCTGCCGGGCTCCCGGAACATCCCCTGTCCCCATGTCCTCGGGGTGGCTCCCACCCCCGGACCCCGCAGCCGGGAGCACGCTGGGCTTTCCTCTGCTCGCCTTCGCAGCACAGCCATGGCGGGATCAGATGGGACCCGGGCGACAAGTCTCTCCCAACCTCGACAAGGTCACGGCGAAGCTTCAAGATAAATAACGCTGCTCGGGCTCCTGTCTGCTGCTCTGCACAGGCAAAGCCCTGCACAAACACTAATTAATCCTCACTAACGAACTCCAAATTTATTGCTTATTTAAGTGACTATCTGGCACAGGCTGTTAAGTCCCTAATCCCGTCCCGCACAGCGCTGGAGCACAGGAAGGAGGATGATGGGAGGGAGCGGCAAAGCCCTGGGTGGCCCCGGCATCACCTGGCCCATGGTGCAGTGCCGGGGGGCTCAGGTGCCGGCAGCAATCACATCGGTGGAGAAGCGACCTGAGAACGGCTCAGCAGCCTTTGCACGAGGAGGGTACAGGAGCTGCTCACGAAGACGCCCCAGCTTTGCTTTCAAAGCTCCCATGGGATGCACCCTCCATCCCACCCAACACGGGGCTGGCACAGTGAAGCCGTGGGTCCCAGCACGGCGCTGGCGTGGTGCAGCCGTGGGTCCAAAATCCTAGTACGGGACTGGCGTGGTGCAGATGTGGGTCCCAGCATGGCGCTGGCGTGGTGCAGCCGTGGGTCCCAGCACGGCACTGGCGTGGTGCAGCCGTGGGTCCCGGCACGGCACTGGCGTGGTGCAGCTGTGGGTCCCAGCATGGCGCTGGCGTGGTGCAGCCGTGGGTCCCAGCACAGCGCTGGCGTGGTGCAGCCATGGGTCCTGGCACGGCACTGGCGTGTGGCTGGTGCTCTGGACGGGCTCCTCTGCTGCCGCTTAGCCAGGGATTTACCCAGCTCGTGTAAAACCCTGCAGCTGCATTAATGAGAAGAGGGGAAATGTCTGCCCTGGAAGCAGCGCTCAAGTGCTTAAAAGCCTCTTCGAGTGCGGCGCCGGCTCTCCCCGGCATTGCACAAAAGCAAATGTTTGCCTTAAAAAAAACCCAGCAACTTCAGAGCATCTCACGGGTCTGCAGCCACATGGGACCACCCCAAAAAGGGGACCCCTGGCACAGGCACCCCAGCAACAGCACTGTCCCTGCTGCCAGAGCAGCTGCCCTCCCCATGCCGTGCCAGGACACACGGCCACGCCACGCTGGCCCCGGAGGAGCCGGAGAGGCGGGGGCTGAGTCGTCACCGAGGTCGCGTTGTCTTGATGCTGATGAAAAATGCAAACCCTTCTGCAATTCCCAGCACAAGTAAAATGCAATGGGCTGTGCCAGGAGTCGGAAAACAGAAACGTTTAAGTGTCTAAT